ATTATAATTGTAGGCAGCTTCCATGCATGCAGCTAATTGTTGGTGAGTGTGTTTAAGCCATGGGATACCTGGTTTATTAGGTGTGCTAGTGAATGCTCATGTCGAACTGAAGCTTGTAAAAACAAGACTGATGACCATGACAAGACTCAAGCTAATCAATTTCCTTCTTCGAATTTTGTTTCTCCCGCAGAACAAAGAATGATGTCATTAATGAGCACTTGAACAAGTTCATGGATGACAGCAAAGCAAATGACCATAAGAACTTTGCTTGTTTACAGCCCTATAACATGAGCACTAGGCAAGCAAATGAATGAAGCATTCAGAATCTAAAAAAATATTCATCAACAACATCAGGTATCAAAGCTTGAATAAGAATTGGCTAGAACATCTAAAGAATGAGAAACAGATAAAACTATCATACTGAGTATCTAAAGTCGGTTACAAAAGAAGTGGCAATTCCTATCATTGGTAGAGAGATACAGACTGGAATAGCATACCTAGATCTTCCAGAGCTACTGCTTCAACTGATTATTCAGCTCTCCCCTGCTAAGCCACACATGCTCTAAAGTCGTAGAAACACCAAAGATTAAGTGCAGGTCTATGTATCCAACCCAAATGGCCATGTAACAGATAGCAGCTCACAACCCAACAAGCTGCAGAAGTTAGTCGCAAAAACCAGAACACATGACAAACACAAATTACTGAAATCAAAAAGGAAGAGAAAAATGAGAACCACAAATAAGCTTTGGCTAAAGAATCTATAAATTCAAAGCATCCCCATGAACTATGAAGGGTCATATCACTGCCCAAAATTAAAAAGGCAATGACACTAACCTACATGCATATAAATATAGACACCTAGATTATACACTCGCATAATGAGATTAAATTGTTAGAAAGTTAAAGCACCTAGAACGAATGTAGCATGAATGCTTGACTTTCATAAAATTAAAAGCACATATGACACATTTGAAATATATGTAAATACTCAATTTATGGTGTACATCAGCCTACATTTATACATGTTTATTCACTTACAAGAACTTTATATGAACTAAACATTTCAGAAAATAAAAAAACTCAAATAAAATACCTTACATTGAAATATATGTAAACACTCTAGTCAAACAAATCATAAACCTACCGAATTTAGCATTATCATGAGTTATGGTGTACATCAGCCTACCTTGATACGTAAGAGCTTTACCTTCTTATAAGAACTAAATATATGCACATGTCTCTTGACCTCATTTCTGCCACTAGCACCTAGTTCAGGAGAATAATACCTAAATGGGAGCATAAGCCAAAGCACCTGGTTCAGGAGAACTTCGCTTGCCTAGTGCTCATGTTGATGAAATTTGGTAATGCTTCACTCAATTGAAGAGAAAGGCAAGGAAAGAGAAAATTCAATTTTTTTTTCTTCTTTGCATCCCCAAAAAAATGTGGGTCTCACCATAACAATTTCTTTGAAAGAAACTTTTCTCGAATTCTTTCCGTAAAAAGTACAGGTAATAATATATCTAGGGAAGATTTAAATAATTTTTGCATATAAATTTTCTTATAAATTGAACAATTAACAACAAAATAGAAAAGAAAAGAAAAGTAATTTATATTTTTTTTCTCAAAAAATATTTTCATGTACACTATTCCAACCAAGCACAAGCCTGACTGGTTAGTTTTTTGATTTGCTTTTAATGAAAGTTATAGTATAGTTAGTGTATACACATATAACCACCCAATGTTTGTCTGGAATGAATTCAAAAAAAAAGAGGTGGAGACACTCTGGATATTACTATAACTACCCAAATTTTGTTTTGGAATGGCTTCACAAAGAAACATTTAAATCCAACTTAGAGAATTCTTCAGATGCAGGGTAACTCACCAAAACCCATGCTATCAACCGGGATAATGATGTCATATTCCGCATTTTGAGTTTTCTTCTTCTGCTCAATCAGTAATTCATTGCAGAAACAAAAACTAATTTTAGTAAACAAAGGCAGTTGAGCAGTGAGTGAGTGAGTCTTGTTCCACTTAAAAGTACACATTCAAATTGAAATTATTGTTATGTAGTAGTATTACTTATAAGACAGGGTATGGAAGAAAGGAAGGAATGATAATCTAAATGTCCCAATAAGAGAAGAAAATTTTCAAAATGAAAATATAAAGTATTGTAAAAGAAAGCTTGTAGCATCCTATAACCCAACAATAGACATGGTTCCCTGACCCAAAGCCCATTTCCTAAGCTTTCAATGTCCATTTACTCAGCTTAGAATCCTTCATATTCCCAAATAGTGCAGGTCATTCCCTTGATTTGGATAGCTGCTGGTTTATTGGTTGTGTTTTACAGCAGAAGTTTTTCTCCACTGCATGGAAGTTAAGGAGAAGCATAAAAAGATTTTGCATTGTAAGTCACTTGAGAAAAATTTGGAGCATAGGAAAAACCTCTGATGCGTTTTGTCTTTGTCACGATCAGCCAATGATTCTTTGTTGTGATTCTCTATTGCAAGTTACAACCATATCAAAGTGGTCAGTGGATCACCCACATGCACTTGCTTAGGCTTTATTTTTCCAGCCAAAAAGTCTTATTCAAACTCCAAAACTAAAGCCATAGGTATGTAAGTATCAATGCACCTTCCTCATTAACTTCCTCCCAACCCTAACTTCATCAAATTAATCTCAGAAACCCTAGCTTCATCAAATTAACAGTTTTCAAAACTCAAAATTATACAAAATTAAAAAAAGCAAAATCAAAACCCTAGAAACTTTTGTGTTCTATACCAAACACTTGAAAAAGCATCCACACAAAATCAATTTACAAAACCTAAAGAAACAGAACAAGAACACTCCATATTTATAGATTACTATAAAATAAGAGTCAATCAACCAAAATATAAATTGAAATTACACTCTTAACAACAATCAAAATGATAAAAATCGAACAAATTTGAATGAATCAACGAGAACTCACCTCACGTGCAGATAATCAGTGTGACCTTGAAAGCATCTTCGATGACATCGAAAATGTACAATATCAGAGATTGGGAACATAGCTTTGTACGTTATTATAGAGAGAGAGAGAGAGAGAGAGAGAGAGAGAGAGAGATTTGCTGCACTTTCTCCTCGAATGACCGTCTGTGGGAAGATGATAGCGTCGAAGGATGGCGGATTGGGGCAACACCGGTGGGTGGACGGCGGAGTGAGGCGACTCCAATGGGAGGAAGAGAAATAGCGTAAGAATGAAATGTAGGGAGTTAGGGCTTGTATTATTTGTGATGGACAGACAGATGTGCAACATAAAACTAGGTCGTTTTGACTATTTTTTTTTTCCACAGTTTAGTATCTGTCACAATTGATGGACCCTTTTGCGACAGGTAATTTGTTTCCGTCACTAATGATAATGCCTTTTTGCTAATTTATTAGCGACAACCACTTTCTATCTCAACAAATACTATTAGCAACGAATTATTTTATCTGTCTCAAATGTATAGCTTTTGCGATGGAAATCAATCTGTCACAAAAAGTTTCGCAACGGTTTCATTTGCCGTGGCAAAAACTTTCTTTTTGCGATGATTTTTAAACCGTTGCAAAAAATTCCGTGTCTGAAGCCCTCTTTTCTAGTAGTGACATGAGGACTACTAGCTATATACCACTTGTTTTTTCACCTTTTTAAATCAATGGAGTTTTGGCAAGATATAAACAACTAGTACCCTGTCCTCATTCCAAGCGTTCACGGCTGTGAAGGAGAGTGGTATTGTGTGAAAAATTAGGAATGCATGGTGACAAAGGCCCCTCTGATCTAGTGTTCCTCATTGCAAGAACATGGAAAAATTTGGGATTGGTTAGTGAGGGAATGAAATAGACAAGAGAAAGAGAAAGTGATCTATCAAATCTAGAATTTCAATGTATTAGATAGAATCCCAAATCTTGGGTAAAAAAAAAAAAAAATTTATTATTAGAAATCTAAACGTCTATTTATTGGCATGGGATATACCACACTAAACAAGCTCAGTTGTATACTAGTTCAACTCCATTTGAACTACTTCAGCACTTCCTCTCTTAAAAGAACTTGTCCTCAGGAATCACTCACAAATTAAGGTACAAGGTTTTGCACATTGAAAATATTAGAGATAGTCAATGGGAAGGCAACTAGACTTGGTAAGCATTATCATTGATCTTGCAAAAAAACTATTAGAAGTCTAAACACCTATATATTGGCATGGGGATATACAAAATAAACAAGCATAGTTGTACACTAACTAACTAAACTACAATTTGAGCTACATCAAGAAGAGAGGGAAGTATGGCAGATGCATATTGGGGTGATGGTGGTGGTGAGTTAAAGTGGCAATGGCCATGGAGGTCCTGAGTTTGTTAGAGAAAGATGCAAAGAGGAGCAAGAAGATAAACTGAGCAAAGAAGAGAGAATAATGCTGAGGTTGAAAAACCTTCCAAATACACCCAAAATATTTCTGTCTACATCCGCTTTATGCAATTACGCCGTTATGCCTTATGAAAAAAACACTCTTGTGCTATGGATAATGGGTGTAGAAAGGATTTTTTTGGTGATGGTGAAAAAATTATTTCCCCCTATGCCTTGTGTGAAATGGCCAAACAAGTCAATTTTATATTAGAATGTCTAGCTGCCATTATCGATTGAAGTAATTAAATACAAATATGCAAAAAATTAAACAACAAATTTGTTACACTTACAACTATAGACCAAAATTAACATGAGATACAAAGCATGGAGTATTAATGTGATTGGTCATTTTGATTAACATGCATTGATGGCTATAGCAAAACAAGCTAAATTGTTACTAGGAGGCTTGTCTCAAAGAACGTATAATTATTAGATCGTGTGAAAATTTTGAAATATAGGAATCTCAAGATATAATCAAACTATGAATGTTTTTGAACATGGAGACAACAAGATTTGAGATATAAAAATCACATACGTACTCAAAAATGAAATGAGCATATTGTTATATACGAAACGTAAATACCAAATATTCATAATTAGTTGATTTACCAAACCCTAACCAAAACATCCTCGATTTGTGCATCAATCATTAACCAGCCAAAAGTCATAATATACCTAGTAAGACCACCCTAATGTCTTTAATTACACAAAAATACTGTACATCCAGAACCAGTTAAGTACTAATAAAACCCCTTCCCACCCAAACAAAAAAAAGTTGTCATGTTCTTCTTCTACTTCTTCTTCTTCTCCTTCTTCTGTATCAGTCAAGATCAATCCAAAAACCATAAGTTAGCTTACTGAAGTGATTCCAGAACTCGCTTTGTTTGCTGGCAGAGCAATTCTGTCTTCCTCAAGAGTTCAAGTTGGCAGATTTGGACCTTCTTCAATTCTCTTGCAATTTCTGCCATCTTGTTAGAGGCGTCCTCTTTTAGAGTTTGTTTCCCATCCTTGTTAAAACCCCAAATCTTTTGGGACAACTTATAGACTTGTTGGTCATGGGGTTTCGAGGGCAATTGAGCTTTGTTGGCATTGGTCATGTACTTTTTCTTCAGCTTGCGAACTTTATCAGACAACTGTGTTTTCGTAACATGAACATGAATAGAATTCTTGATGGAAAGGTAAAAATCATTTATGTTGGCAGAGGGGTCCAAACCTGTGTCAGCAGTGTGGTGAATAATACCCTCCAGAATCAGAATCTCATCTTCAGGACTCCACAGCCTCTGAAAAAACACCTTCGAAGCACTAGTCTTGTTCAACCTGTCCTCTACAACATCTGCATTCACATTCACTGCCTTGGCCCTCTTCCATTTTCGATTCTCGCTCTCGCTGTCAACAACAGGGCGTTTGGGAGTGGGGTTACATATGGGCTTCTTAGATATGGGCTTCTTATTCTTAGCAGAAGCAGAAGCAGCAGCATTGGATTGCATCATCTTCATATTCGGATCCACTCCGCAATGATCGACGGGGGAAGAATCGGATTCCCCAGAAGAAGAAGAAGAAGAAGAAGATTGGGGATGTTGTGCGGCTGAAGCCGATGAGGGTTTTTTGGGTAGAGGAGCAGGAATCGTATTCTCATCTTCTTTTTCTTCAGATTCTGATTCAGATTCAGATGCTGATCCTTCTTCACCTTCATCTTGATCTACATCTTGCTCTTGCTCTTCGTTTTCTACTTCTTTTTCTTCACATTCTGATTCAGATGCTGATGCTGATTCTGATTCTTCTTCACCTTCATCTTGAGCTGACGACCCGCCTCGCGCTTCTGCTGCGGATTGTTTGTTCTTGGCCATGTTCGAAGAAACAGAGATACAAAATTAGGGCAAAAGATTCTAGTTTATACACTTCCCAAGCGTTGTGCATATATAACCATTCGCATTCCCCATTATATTACAATGTTGCTGGTGATTCACCTTCTAAGTCTCTTTCCTAATTTTGTTCTCGTGAGTGGATCACATTAACTATCTGAGGTCCTTTTGTCTGACGTTGCTATATTGAGAGTCGAGGTCCTCTTGTCAGAGGGTGCTATATTGGGGGTGGAGCTGTTGGCGTCTGAGACAATCTTGACTGTTCTTCTCTTATATTAGCCTCATCGATAAAGTCTCTCAGATGGTCTTGTCTCACCAGGTCTTTCAAGTGTGCTTTTAGGGCTCTGCAATCATGAGTTAATGTGCCTATTTTCATTGTGATAAGTACAATATCTATTAAGGTTTCTTCCTATGAATTCTCTTGGTGCCTTTGTTGTGATTCTGAAATAAGGTTGATTCTTTAACCTTAGAATGAAATGTAATTTCTAAAAGGTGAAAAAAAAATTAATTGAAAAAAAATTTGTCAGTAAAATGTTTAAATTTCTGTTTAAAAACCAACGTAAAATCATTTTTTGAATTTATGTTTATTCCTCAAATTTACAAAATGAGACAACAATTTATAAACCAAAAAAATTATCAAACAAGTTTTTATGACAGTTTTTTAAATTTTTGTAAATATAAATTGAAAACTGAAAATGAAATGGTCAAATATGCCTCAGATGGTAAAAATGTCGTAAAATTAACATATAATTAAATAAGTTACCAACGTAAGAAATGACTTATTAAAAGATTCTTAGATTATGTATGGTTTGATTTTTAGAATTTTTTTTTAAAATTAAAAATTAATTTGGTTAAGAAATAAAAAATAATTATTATTTAAGGGTAAAAAGTAATTATCATTTTAACTTTTGGACAGGTTATATACATGCGTATGACCGTTTTAATTTAATTTGAAAAAAATAATTTCTAACCACTCAAAAGATAAAAATTATATAAAAATGATAATTATTTTTTATTTTTTATTTTTTATTTCTTAACCAAATTAATTTTTAGTTTTTAATTTTTTTTTTCTAAAAATCAAACCATACATAGTCTAAGAATCTTTTGATAAGTCATTTTTTATGTTGGTAACTTATTTAATTATTTGTTAATTTTACGACATTTTTACTATCTAAAGCCTGTTTGGTAACCATTTTGTTTTCAGTTTTCAACTTATATTTACAAAAATTTTAAAAATTGTCATAAAAACTTATTTGATAATTTTTTTGATTTATAAATGGTTGTCTCAGTTTGTAAATTTTAGGAAAAAACGTAAATTCAAAAAATAAGTTTATGTTGGTTTTTAAACAGTAATTTAAAAATTTTACTAACAATTTTTTTTTCAATTAATTTTTTTCAAATAATTTTTTTCCAATTAATTTTTTTTCAATGAATTTTTTTTCCAACTAATACTAATCGATGGGGCAATTGCTAATGCTACTTTAAACCTTGGGGAGGGGATTGTAATTTCTAAACTGTGAGGGGTGTCAATGTAATTTACCTAGTGATGGCAAAATTAGTATTTAATATATATATATTTTATACAAAAGAAAATCAAATGTTTCTTACCATTCACTTGTCTAAGTCAAAGATTCATTCTCATTCACTATACTTTTTACAAGTTTTTCTATAAAAAGTTAAAAAAATCTTTTCAAACATATATTGCTTTTTTTCTAATTATTTTGAAAACTAACTAATTTAATTAATTTTTTAATAGTGACTTTCTGTCATGTTTTCAAAACAACCCCCATCTCACATTTTAACAAAAAAAAGTGTTCCAAAATAATAATAATAAAAAAAAAAATAATCTCTACTCTAATGGGGCCTAGTGCTAGTACAAATTTATAAATTTTGTTAACAATATGAGTTTTCTTTAAAACTTTGCACATAATATGTAATTATATTCTCTCTAGTTGGATATTTTAATTAGACGGTCCACTCGGTTCATTGAGGATCCATTTTGGGTCCATTTTAATAATTCAATTCGTTCATTTTTTTGGATCTTTCGAGGAGATCATGCATATCAAAAATTAGATTGATCGAATATTGAAATATACTCGATCAGATCACATGTATTTCAAAAATAACTAATGTACTACTTCTAAAATTATATTGTCCATTAATTTTTTTTGAGACAAATGTGATCCAATCAAATGGCTCCCAATGTCAGATCTATTTGATTTTTGGTACGCATGATCTCTTCAGGGACCCTACAAAATAAACGGTATAGATCGTCGGGCCCATAGTGGGTTAAATTGGATGGTCTAATGAAATATTCCAACTAAAAATAATCGAATCCTTACTTTTTTTTACGCACTATCTTATTTACTATAAGTTTATTTTAAGCTAGGGAGAATTACACTAACGGTCCTTTTAGTTTGAAACTTGTGTCACTTTGGTCCCTTAACTTTTCAATTATGATATATTTGATCCTAAATTTTGAATCTCAATCGAAATAAAGATAATTAAAGACATTGTTGCTTTGTTTCAAGGGCAAAGTCGTCAATTTGATCAAACATATATTAATTTGACAAAAATAAATGTCAAAATAAAATTTTAAAAATTATTTCTACCCACCAAAGATAAAATTATATAAAAATGGTAAATCTTTTACATTTTTATTTATTTATTTTATTTTTTTACCAAATTAATTTTTAGTCTATGTTTGGATGATGATCATATAATGAGTGATAGTTTTTGTTGATGTTTTTGGATGGTTATCATGTAATAGATGGTTGTATTTGTTATTAACAGATATTCTTGGATGATTATTATGTAATGGATAGTTGTTACGCTTTTAATGTGTAATAGATATGTTTAATATATGAAATATTTTTAGTTTTGAATTTTTTAATTTAATAGATTAGTTTAATAATGATATCAAAATTGTTATCATATTTGACTTTTAAAAAAAATAGAAACTAATTTAATGAAAATTGATATAAAAAATTATTTAAAAAAATTATTTCCATCCTCCCAAAAGATAAAATTATATAAAAATAATGTATTTTTAATTTTTTTCACCAATTTAATTTTTAGTTTTTTAGAAAAAAATTCCTAAAAATAGATTCTAAAAACCAAGCTAAACAGAACTTTACAACCAAGAAAGTTCTAACATTATTGGTTAAAAAAAAAGGTCACTACATTTCAAATAACATATAAATTAATCAACACAGAATAAGTTGTATGACAACTTTACCTTTGAAATGGACCGTTTGCAAATGAAATATCTTTAATTGTCATTATTTGGAACAAGATTCAAAATTCAGGGTCAAATGTATCACAATTGAAAAGTCAGGAATTAAAGTGACAAAAGCATTAAATTACCGGGACTATTAGTGTAAGTCACCCTTTAAGCTAATAAGTCGAGAGTACCAAAGGAAGACCGCAGTCGGCTCATTTATGTAATTAAGTTAAGTAGATCTCAAATTTATCAAATATTTAACAAGATAGTGTTTGATAAAGCTGAAAACTGAAAACTAAATTCTGAATTTTTAAGTTGAAAAGTAATTTGATAAAAATTAAAGTGCTAAATTAAAAACAAATTTTTTGATATTTATAAGATCAAATTTGAAAATTATTATTTTCAAATTGTGTCTTTCAATTTTTATATTATGATGGTGAGTTGGTAGTGGTGGAGAAGGCAACGATGTTAGCTACGGAACTGATGGCAATGGTAATGGAGATACATGGATAATGGTTGTGATGATGGTGGAAATGTAATGTCGTGCAGACAAAAAAAGAGGTGGTGGCGGCTATGTAATGATGGTGGTGATTATGGAAATGGTGGCAGTAGTTATGGAGATAAAGGGTTATAGCAATTGTTATAGTGGTAGTAGTAATGGCAATAGAGATTGTGGTAGTGGTATTCTAACGGTTCCGGTTTAGACCTCACCTTTATCATGTTCTTAGATTTGGAATTCCATATCTTTAATTGTAGTTATAACCTTTTCACCTTTTTTCTTAGTTGAGTTTTGTTGTTTGGGAGTTGTTGGTTTTGTTTGAAATAGGTTGGGGGTTAGTTTTTCAAAAGAGTTGTTGTCTAGTTCATTTCTTGTTCGCTCAAGCTGTGTTTTGGTCGTTCAAGCGGCCTTTGAGATCTCCTAGTATTTTTGCATGTCTATAAAACTTCTAGGAGTAGGGCGATTTTCGCTCAAGCGGTCTTTCCTGTGCTCGAGCGATCATCTGCAGTCTACAAAACTTCTAGGAGGTCAACCAAGATGGTTCCAAGATGATCCTAGGTGTTAACACTCAACGCCCTAGGTGTAAGAGGCTCAAAATGTGACCTAGGTATGAGGTAACAAAGGTAGATAGCCTAGATTCAACACACAAAGTAAGAAACAAAGCATGGATCTTACACTTAGACAAAAACACAATAGCACAAAATACGACATGATCCCATACTTAGACAAATTTTCAAAGTTCACAAAATGCAAGCTTGCAACATCTCCACTTGCAGGCTTGCATATGGAGATGCTGGGAGCTAACAAACCAAAAACCATGCAAATTCTCAAGAATATGACTAAGGCAAAATGAGGGCTGTTATAAAATGTTAGAATGTTTTTGGTCTTGTAAACTAGAATGGTTTTTTTTTTTTTTTTTAAATGTTTGAAACTCATTCATCTACCTCTTTACTTTGGTATTATTTGTGAGGCCCCTAACCTTTGTAAAACCTATGAAGTCCTTGACTTTTGAATTCTTTCAATCAAGACCCTCAAATCCTTATTTGTCTTCAATTCTAGTTATAGATTCGAACATGCATGTAGACCGCCCGAACTTCCTCCGCACGCCCCCCTTTCGGAGAGGGTGCGGATTTGGGTTCATAGCTACTACAGTTTGGACTCCTATCACGGTTCTGTATCTAGTCTCACAAAGTGCAATGTAAGACTGATAAATCACCAAAGAGTCCAAATCTGGCAAATTGTTTTTGGAAAATCGATTTTAATCAAGAAGTGCCAAACATGGACTACTTTGCCAGATTATAGAGTCGCCACCTACATGTTTTGTTTTTTGAGAAATTTAGGAAACCCTGACTCGTGCCTAA